ATATGAATTCAGAAAACTAAATACATCTAAACCCAGCTAACTCCTAATTAGGAAAAATACTATAAACAAATTTGCTGTGACAATTTAAAAAAAAAGACATCTATCCCACTTCCATTTTATGTGAATGTCAGAAATGTGGTTGCTATTTTAAATTTAGAAAGCAGTAATCAATTACATATTTGGAAGCCACAAAAGGGTGAGAAAGGAAGCAACTTCTCCCAGCCTCACTGAAGAAGGAGTTTAAAACTATGGAGCTATATAAGCAAATATGCTTGCATAATCATTGAATATACATATATTGCAAAGAGCATGACTGGGAAAGAATTCAAGGTGATAAACACATCAAGGCTAAAGAAGATTCACTCAGCTAGAGATTAAATTAGCAAAAAGCTAAAGATGAAGCTGTGATGTTCTCATTTTTGAGATGATAAAACTTAGATGTACTGGAAGTATTACATACAAGCAAAGAAAAAAGTACACACAATAGATTTGCAGGAGGCTGCTTCACAATCTTATAATAAAAGCAATATTGGAGGGTGGAGGGTGGAGGGTTTTATCTCAGCTGCCAGTCTTGAGATGAAGGCAATCTAGAGGAGAAAGTCCCTAACAGAAGACCCTGCTGCATTTGCTAATGTGCATGGAAGGGAAGAACCAAGCTGATATCCTGCCCTGTTGCCATCAGGGTTGTCCTGGGCTTAGCAGCAGCAGTCATTTTTCTCTTTCTTGGTAGCTGGTGCAGTGCTGTGTTTTGACTTTCAGCTGGGAACAGAGCTGAAAAACAATGATGTTTTGGTTTGGTCAAGGACTCTGTGAGCCTCATGCTCTGCCAGAGAGGAGGGGAGCCGGGAGGAAGCAGAGACAGGACACCTGACCCAAACTGACCAAAGAGGTATTCCATACCACAGCACGTCATGCCCAGGATGGAACTGGGAGTTAGCCGGAAGGGCTGGGTTGACTGCAGGGTTGGAGGAGGTATCGGTCGGTGCTTAATCGGACTGGGGGTCAAGTTATCGGTCAGCTGGTGATGGGGTGTTGTATTCTCTTCCCTTGTTATTTCCTTTATCATTACTATTATTGGTGGCAGCAGTAGTGATTTGTGTTATACCTTAGTTACTAAACTGTTCTTATCTCAACCCGTGGGAGTTGCATTCTTTTCTCCTCTCCGTCCCTCCAGGAGTAAGGGGAGGGCAAGAAAGGGGGGGAGTGGGTAAAAAGCTGTCTGGCATTGGTTAAACCACGACAGTTCTTTTTGGCGCCCAACGTGGGGCACGAAGGGGTTGAGATAACGACAGATCTGACCGGATTAATAGTCACTCGTCACAATGCTGATTTATTGGATCTCAGAGCGGCCCCGGGACCCGGTGGCTGCTGAAGCGGCCCGGGAGAGCGGCCCCGGGCACCAAGCGGGAGCGGGACCAGAGGCCGCGCGGGGACGGCTGCCGGTGGAGGAGGTCGGGGCGGGCGAGGAGCGGGAGAAGGCAGCGGAGGAGCCGAGCCAAGCGGCCGAGCCCAGCCCCGCGGCGGCCGAGAGCATTCCCCGGAAGCCGCCCGCCGAGCCCCAGGAGGATGCAGGAGACCCCGCAGCATTTCCCAGCAAGGCAGAGGAGGAAGAGCTGGACTCAGGAAAAGAGAAGTTGGTGGTGGGAGAGCCGGCAAGCACAGCAGCTACACCAGCCCCAGTGACAAGTACAGCAGCATCGCGTGAGAGTTCTGACGGTTTTGAATGGCCTTTGGGTACCCTTGGGACCTGCCTGCTGATTGTGATGGTGTTCACTATGTTGGCACACATGCAGAATGTGTTTTACCCACCACCATTGTGTCTGATCCCAAAATTTAAGCAGAGTCGGGTTTGGGTCTTGTCTGGGGTTAGACAACGATATGGGAGGACCAAGAGGTTTTCCCCAAGGCTGGACAGCCATGAGTGGCAGGGCATGTGGGACAGTATGGGCAAGTATCTAGTCCACTGGGCCCCTCCAGTGCTTTGGAAACATTGGAGATGGAAGGACAATGAATTATTTTGAACCTGGTGGGCCCATGACCCTTGAGGCCAACAGAGCAGAGATGCAACATAGAGATGGACTCATGATCAAGGGGTGGACCTAACAATGGACACTACTGCCCAGGTTATTCATGTGTGTGAGCACTGCACACAGCCTCTCCTGCTCTGAAAGACTGTTACAAGAGATGGCGCCTGACATCATGGACCAGATGGAATCAGCAGCTTTATAGGGACTAGTCTTTGCACTAAGATAGAAGTGCACTGAGATCGGAGTGATGGTATATTGAAAATGTAGGATCTGAGCATGACGTGAATGGTATGGAATAAGGGGTGGATAATGTCCTGGGTTTAGCAGTGGCAGTCATTTTTCTCTTTCTTGGTAGCTGGTGCAGTGCTGTGTTTTGACTTTCAGCTGGGAACAGAGCTGAAAAACAATGATGTTTTGGTTTGGCCAAGGACTTTGTGGGCCTCATGCTCTGCCAGGGAGGAGGGGAGCCGGGAGGAAGCAGAGACAGGACACCTGACCCAAACTGACCAAAGAGGTATTCCATACCACAGCACGTCATGCCCAGGAGGTAACTGGGAGTTAGCCGGAAGGACTAGGTGGACTGCAGGGGTTGGAGGAGGTATCGGTCGGTGCTTGATCGGACTGGGGGGCAAGTTATCGGTCAGCTGGTGATGGGGTGTTGTATTCTCTTCCCTTGTTATTTCATTTATCATTACTATTATTGGTGTTAGCATTAGTGATTTGTGTTATACCTTAGTTACTAAAACTGTTCTTATCTCAGCCCGTGGGAGTTGCATTCTTTCTGATTCTCCTCTCCGTCCCTCCAGGAGTAAGGGGAGGGCAAGAAAGGGGGGGAGTGGGTAAAAAGCTGTCTGGCATTGGTTAAACCACGACAAGGGTTCACTGTAGCTCTGCTCATGAGCACCATGTTATACATCTTGTTCAGAGGATAGCGGCACCTTGTTTACTCCACCTTGCAAGGCCCAAAATACTGATGTTCAAGAATGGGCTAGTCCTCTCACATAATAGTAGTAGTAACAGCAAAAAAAATCTCAACCTGTGGCAGAGTCAAACCATGCCATTTGGCCTGTTCTGAACCAGCTTACGGAAGCATACTGACAGTGCAGGACAACAATTCTCTATCTCTGTAGTTCCACAGAGCTATTTAAATGCAAAGATTAGGCTGTAGCTAGCTGAATAGCTCAGCCTCACAGGAAAAAGAAAAAAAAACCAAACCAAAGTAAAACCAAAAAAAAGCCAACCAAACAAAACAACCCCACACCCTAACTTTATCTGTTTAAAGAAAGCTAACGGAACAGGTTTGAGGGATTTCCTAGAAAATAATCATGTCATCTTCAGTTCCCCAAAAGAGGGTTTGTGCTTTTTGTTTGTTGAGGGGTGAGGGTTATTTTGGGTTTGTTTGTTTAAGAGAATGAGACAGAGAAAGTAGCAGTGTGTGTCTATGAGTGTACATATACCCACACACGGGAAGGAGGAGGAAGGAGCTATTAATTTATTTAAAATAGGCTTTCTGGATGGAAGACAGTGCAAATTAGTACTTCAAGGCCCTGTCTTGTATGAACTGTTATAGAACACAAGTGGTACAATTCTTCACATCCCCACTTGACAGTTATTACACAGGATAATATTCTTTAAACTGGGGACTAGTTTGGTTTTTGTTTGGGTTTTTTTAAGGATGTAAATTTGGATATAATGGTTTTAATCAGAATTTGTCTAAACAAAGGGTTTTACTTTGAAGACAGGTAGCTCCCTGTAACTCTTTTGTTATTAAGTGATAAGCAGTAAGCAGCTCCCAGACTAAACAGTCAGGCTTTATTTTATGTCATCATAACAAGAGGTCAGGAAGAGACCTCTCTCCAGAGATCACACATAGTATTTGTGGATACATGTCCAATTATATTATTGCAAGAAACTATGCTGTATGAATACAGATGGCTTTACCTCAATGCAGACTCGGTTATAACAGAACACATCCCCTGTACATAAACCCTCAGTCCTCACCATTTTTTATTGTTATTCCACTATCTACTGAGCTTTCAGAGACACCAGACATTTTGGTACTGTCCTGGTTTAAGCTTTGGTTAGTTTGGGTCAGGTGTCCTGTATCTGCATCCTCCCGGCTTCCTGTGCCCCTCCTCACTGGCAGAGCACAAGACTGAAAAGTCCTTGATAAGAGTAAGCATTACTTAGCAACAACTACAAACATTGGTGTGTTATCAACATTGTTATCAGACTAAAGTTAAAAACACAGCATTGCACCAGCTACTAAGAAGGAGAAAAATAACTGTTACAGTGAACCCAGGACAGTATAACTACTCTTCAGGTGATGTCTCAATTTCCTTTCTCACACCAGACTTCATTTTCAGTAATTTTAAAAACAAGCACTCAGAATATGAAAAAAAATGAGAATAAATATCAATTAGCACACTGGGAGACAGTTTGTGACTGCCCAAACAACAAAATAAGAAATAATCAATGAAATGTTTTCTCCTTTACCTGTTTTCTGACACATGAAGAACATTTTCCTCATTTCCTTGGGAAGTTTCAGGTTCAGGTTCCTCTTTATATTTTCCTATCCTGGGATGTTTTAAATGACTGCTTTGTGTCTGAATGGAAACGGGTGTTATATCAGGTTCTTAGGAAAAAAAAAAAAATGCAAGTGAACAAATGCAGTCTGTAAGATCTGTACATATTCCCCCCTCCCAAGTTTCATTAAAGTAACTGAGTGCAAGTAAAACATTTCACTGTGGTACTTATTTTCTGAATATACATGCATAATCTCTTTACCATGGCTCATAACAATTCTGTTCAAAGACCTCAAAATGTTTATGAGTTGAGCCTCAGCACCTTAGAGGAAGGCATGTTTTTTATACACTTTTCAGATGAACATGCTAAGCTTGAAAGCAGTAAAAGAGTCTACTAGTCTACTAATCCATGGTAATCAAAATACTGATGATCAAGGTTATTTTTACCTGTGGTTGCATGGACATCTACTGATTCTGTACCTTTTTGAGAGTCAGTCTGTGAATCAAAAGCAAGGCTAATATTATTCAAAAAACTTCTGAATTCATTGAAATACCTTCATCTCCCAACCTGTGGCTGCATCTTTCTAAAGCACTATTTATATAGTAATGAACTTATGGAAGAGCAGCTATATCCATTTGTCCTGGGTTCAGCAGTAGCAGCAATTTTTCTCCTTCCTAGTTAGTAGCTGGTGCAGTGCTGTGTTTTTGACTCTCAGCCTGGGAACAGCGCTGATAGCACCAATGTTTTTAGTTGCTGCTCAGTAATGTTTACTCTGACCAAGGACTTTCTGAGTCTCATGCTCTGAAGAGGAGGAGGGGAAGACAGGAGGAAGCAGAGGGAGGACACCTGACCCAAAGTAGCCAAAGGGGTATTCCGTACCACAGCACGTTATGCCCAATATACAAACTGGGGGGAGTTACCTGGAAGGGCGAGATCACTGTTTGGGTCAGGCTGGGTATTGGTATGCAGGTGGTGAGTGGTTGTTTTATCTTCCCTTGTTATTTCACTTATCATCATTATTATTATCGGTGGTAGCAGTTTTGTGTTATACCTTAGTTACTGGACTGTTCTTATCTCAACCCGTGGGAGTTACATTCTTTCGATTCTCCTCCCCATTCCTCCTGGAGCAGGGGAAGGAAGTGGGGGGAGTGAGGGAGCGGCTGCATGGTTCTGGGTTGCCGGCTGGGCTTAAACCACAACACCATTCTTTAATTATGAAATTTATATGTATGTATCTTATCTCTTAAGAGATTAAATATTTTTTATCATCTTTACTACAGGCTTTTTTTCTTTCCTTTTTGTATAAAAACAAGGGACTATACTACAGTAGCTGTCAAAATTTATCAGGACAGTTTTATTTTATACTTGCATTCTCTTTTGTAATCTGTCGTGTTTTAACCAGGCAGGCAGCTAAGCACCATACAGATGCTAGCTTGCTCCACCCCCCCTCAGTGTGATGGGGGAGAGAATTAAAAAAAAAATAATAAAAATTGTAGGTTGAGATAAAGGCAGTTTAATAGGGCAGAAAAAGAAGGGAATCATAATAATAGAATTAGAATATACAAACCAAGTGATGCACAATGCAATTGCTCACCACCCACCAACCAATACCCATCCAGTTCCCAAGCAGGGACCCCTGGCTAGGTTTCCCCCTAGTTTATATGCTGAGCATGATGTCATGTGGTATGGAATATCCCTTTGGCCAGTTTGGGTCAGCTGTCCTGGCTGTGTCTCCTCCTAGCTTCTTGTGTGCCCCAGCTTATTCGCTGGTGGGGTGGTGTGAGTCTTGACTTAATGTAAACACTGCTTAGCAACAACTAAACCATCAGCATGTTATCAACATTATTCTCATCCTAAATCCAAAACACAGCACTGTACCAGCTCCTGGGAAGAAAATTAATTCTATCCCAGCCAAAACCAGGACACAGTCTTATTTTTATTGTGGCACAATAAAACAAGAATAAAAAAAAAGAATTTAGTGATTCAGCAGTAATGCAGGTTACATGCATAGTTAGCACAGGAGGCTGATTAGGTCAGAGTTCACTCTCCCTAGAGCTCTTTTGCTTCTTGTTCTTCCCCCCCACCACAGTATTTCCATTTTTTTTGCAAGTTATCCAAGGACTCAGTGGTCAAGCACTTGATAATCTGAAGTGGGTGCAAACTATACTTGTTGAAATAAAAGTATTCACATCACCCCTTTCTTAGCTGCTGCAAGTAATCTAGAACTGGTAATAACCAGCATCACAGTAGGTTAGAGGTTGGAAGGGACCTCAAAAGATCATCTAGTCCAATCCCCCTGCCGGAGCAGGAACACCTAGATAAGGTTACACAGGAACGTGTCCAGGCGGGTCTTGAATGTCTCCAAGCATCCAGGTGTTCTGCCACCTTTTCAGTCTTACTTCCAGTACTACCCAAGAAGGCCAGAAACAAGTGGCTGTATCTACATTCTGGTGCCTGAAATAGTTTCAAGTAAGCGTTAAATACATAAGAATTTGTAGGCTAATGATAAATCATTCTAGCATCAAAACACACATAAATAGTGAGCACTAAGTGAAAGGTGAAAATGTAATTCAGGGAATTCAAGCACCGACCGATACTTCCTCCAACCCTGCAGTCTCCTAGCCCTTCTGGGTAACTCTCTTTTACATCCTGGGCATGATACGCTGGGGAATGGAATACCTCTTTGGTCAGTTTGGGTCAGGTGTCTTGTCTCTGCTTCCTCCTGGCTTCTCCTCCTCCCTGGCAGAGCATGAGGCTCACAAAGTCATTGGCCAAACCAAAACATCATTGCTATCAGCCCCGTTCCCAGGCCAAAAGTCAAAACACAGCACTGCAACAGCTACCAAGAAGGAGAAAAATGACTGCTACTGCTGAACCCAGGACAGGGGGAGGTGTTTTATTTTTAGTGGTCCAACAATTTTCAAAGCATTGCAGAGCTCGTTGCCGATAGCACATGCTCCAAGAAAAGAGCTGCCAGCAATTCTACCAAACTATGAGGAGTTGGAGCACCCTGTATTTATCATCCTCCTCTTCTAGAAGGAGGCAAGAGACAGGGCTTGAGTTCATAACTCACAGTTAGAAAAATCATAAGAACTACTAATATCCCTCTGCTATTTTCTCCAAGTATATCCATCTAGCTCTACAACCAAAACATGCATTTTTGAGATAATTTTGCTGATATTTTGGAATTACTGGAATCTGAAACTAGAACTCAGAGGTGATGCTCTAGGCACTGTTACAAATTAAAGATAACTAGGAGTTGTTGCTTCTGATCATTTAGAGACTAAAAACATCACTACTTGCTGTCAGTTTTGCTTTGGGAAATGCTAATTTTCCAAGCTGGGAACAGGGACCTTTGATTTACATTTTAAATCTAAATTTTAGATAAAAAGAGCTGAGAGTACTGATTCAGCCATTATTTCCTATTTTTAAAGCATTGACTTCTATGAAAGCATGGTCATGTCAATACTACAGGCAGTCCTGAAGCACACAAATCCATCCTCACTGTATTTTGAGCTACAAGTTTTTCTCGGGCGCATTCTATGTGGCCTCAGAACACAAATGAGAAACAGCTTAATAATATTCTAAGACACAAATATATTCATGACCACATACATATCTATATGTAGCTGAGATCTGTGAGATTTCAAATACATACAAAGCAAGCTGTGGTCATCTTATATAGCCAATGTATAGCTCTGAATGCAAACTAAACACTCTCTGTTGTATTGAACTGTGATGTGAATGTGCACTTCTATCAACACTTTTTCTTATTCTCTCCCCTCTTACGATGACTCTACTGTTCAACAACCTTTCTAGACAGTTTAATCTCAGAGCCAGTTGAAAAATTCCCTTTCTCTAAGCTGCTAGAAAACAGCTCAAATTACTAGACCCGGACAGGCGTGACAGACCCCTCTACAGTCATGGGACACCCTCCCCCAAAAAAGTGTATTTTTAACCCCAGCGTAATCATTAGTGTTACATCAATGGGAAGCATAACAAACACTCAAAAAGTAACAAAAGCATTTGTCTTTTATATATAGTGCAGACTTAAGCCAATTTGATTATAATGAGATGGACGAAAAGCATTTCTTATATTTTATGCTTTTTTATCCTGGGTCTGTCAGACTGGTTGCCACTTAGAGACATATGAAAAGTACAAGCTCTCTGCATAACTCAGGACTGTTCTCTGAGAGCTTGAAACAGAAATATCAAACAAGAATAACATACAGTTGATCAACCATACTAATGTGCTGCAGACCTACATTTTTTAATTTTAGAAACGTATACTTTTGTAGAAATTAAAAATGTTTATTGGATATATAGAACAGGCAATTAAAGTCAGAAGAATAGAACAAGATACGTTATATGATTATAGAAAACTCTTAAAAGCTCTCAAACCTTTTTAATATATGGAAAACAGTCTGTGTACCTACATTTAGCTCAGTCTTTCGTCCACTTGCTTCAGATTCTGCTGCAGACTGTTGAATATAATCCTCTTGGAAACTTGTATTTTCTTTCTGAGAGACCTCTGCTGTTAAGATTTAGAAGAGGAAAAGGGAAAAAGAAATTTATTGCACCTTTATATAACAACTAATCATTCCAAATATGACCTCACTGATCTCAGGACAAATAAAAATCTTTCTGCTAGTTTCCATGGGCAATGTTCACACAAGTCACTGCTGAAGAAACTCTACAGTACATCTTCTACAAAGTGTCAGAAAACAAAACAAAGCATCCATACCTGTAATTTTGAGCTTTTGCCTTTGCAGTACAGTGGTAATAGGTGTTCTCTGGAACCAATGTCCTGCTCCCTCCACTTCCCACAAAAGATTGTGACCCCCAGGGTACTTCTCAAAATAGTGCTTACAAGCTGAACAAGCATAAGAAAAACCACACTACTATATACACTATATATGTGTCTGTGCCTCAGTTTTTTAAGTTTATCTGAAATCAAATCCATTTGCAATCTTTCATCATACACATAAACCACCACAGAAAGAACTGTTCAACAAAACAGTCCAGTCTGAAAAGCATATATTAATTTACCTAGTCATCCTTCTCAATAAATCCTTTCTTCAGGTTTAAGCACTTGCCATTATTAACTTAAACTGCAAACAAAGATAGATGGGATTTTCTTCTTCTTCTCTTAAGCACCCACTTCGTAGTTTTACAACTTCACTGGTCATTGTCTCTACTTATCACAAGACCCAACCATGATGGAAGGGGTCTTAGACAGAGGATGTAGTCAAATGATTTTTGTCACCTTGTGAAAAGCACTCTTTGGGAACATAAATACTTTGCAATTGAATGATTTATCATCCACTTACTGTTCACTTTTGGAAGATTTTCTTCTTTTCTGTCCCTCCACCCCTTTTTTCTTAATACACATACAAAACATTCATGTGGAGAGAAATGTTTTGATATTATTCTGTAGTAGCTACCAGGAAAATAATTTTTCACCTGATTCACTAGTGATTCATAATCTCAGTGGACAAAATCCCTGCTGTATCATTTCTTGGCCAGAGAAACAGATTAGTCATTAAATTCTGCTCAAGACAGTTTGCTGGTTGAAGCCTAAGAAACCAGTTCTAGACAGATCCAACAGCAGACAGTGGTACTTAGAAAAGCAGAAAATTTCCAGTGGTAGATGAAAATGTTAATAGAAGGAAGCCTGACAGATGGCCGAATAATAGGCCTTGAGAAACTGGACAAAGAAAATGCTTCTTGCCTGAACACAGTCCCAAACAACATAATTTCTAAAATGTGCACAATTTCCTAGCCGACATAAACCTCTTGGCTTGTTAATGGAACAGCCATAAGTGTTTTCCTTATACATTAGAACTGTGCTTTCTTATACTCGTTAAAACATAGCCTAGCATGTCCACTTGACCAGAAGTTCTGAGAAAGCATGAATTAAGTGACCTTGTGAGGCTTAGGAGTGAGCAAGAAAAAGGTGCTACAAAGAAGACATATGTTAGGATATCAGACACAAAAACACCTCAGCCCACTCTGGAGGCTGAGGGCAGGGGGGTGGAATATAGAATCATAGAATAGATAGGGGTGGAAAGGACCTTAAGATCATCAAGTTCCAACCCCCCTGCCATGGGCCTCACCACCCTAAAAAGAAAGAATTTCCTCCTTATAGCCAATCTAAACTTCAACTGTTTAAGTTTTAACTCATTAACCCTTGACCTGTCACTAAAGTCCCTAATGAAGAGTCCCTCCCCAGCATCCCCATATGCCCCCTTCAGATACTGGAAGGCTGCTATGAGGTCTCCACGCAGCCTTCTCTTCTCCAAGATGAACAGTCCCAACTTTCTCAGCCTATCTTCATATGGGAGGTGCTCCAGTCCCCTGATCATTCTTGTGGCCCTTCTCTGAACTTGTTCCAACAGTTCCATGTCCTTTATATGTTGAGGACACCAGAACTGCACACAATACTCTACGCGAGGTCTCATGAGAGCAAAGGGGCAGGATCACCTCCTTTGACCTACTGGTCACACTCCTTTTGATGCAGCCCAGGATACGGTTGGCTTTCTGGGCTGCAAGCGCACACTGCCGGCTCATGTTCATTTTCTCATCAACCAGCACCCCCAAGTCCTTCTCCACAGGGCTGCTCTGAATCTCTTCTCTGCCCAGCCTGTAGTTGTGTCTGGGATTGCTCCGACCCAGGTGCAGGACCTTGCACTTGGCATGGTTAAACTTCATGAGGTTGGCATCAGCCCACCTCACAAGCGTGTCAAGGTCCCTCTGGATGGCGTTCCTTTCCTCTGGCGTATCAACCGAACCACACAGCTTGGTGTTATCAGCAAACTTGCTGAGGGTGCACTGAATCCCACTGTCCATGTCAGTGACGAAGATGTTAAACAAGACCAGGCCCAACACCGATCCCTGAGGGACACCACTCGTTACTGGTCTCCAGCTGGACATTGAGTCATTGACCACAACTCTTTTTGTGCAGCCATCCAGGCAGTTCTTTATCCACCAAGTGGTCCATCCATAAAATTGATGTCTCTCCAATTTAGAGACAAGGATGTCTTGTGGGACAGTGTCGAACGCTTTACACAAATCCAGGTAGATGACGTCAACTGCTCTACCGCTGTCCATCAGCTCTGTAGCCCCATCATAGAAGGCCACCAAATTGGTCAGGCAGGATTTCCCCTTAGTGAAGCCATGCTGGCTGTCACCAAGCACCCTGTTGATTTTCATGTGCCTTACCATGCTGTCCAGGAGAATCTGCTCAAAGATTTTGCCAGGCACAGAGGTGAGACTGACTGGTCTGTAATTCCCTGGGTCATCCATTTTTTTCTTCTTGAAAATTGAGGTTATATTTACCTTTTTCCAGTCGTCGGGAACTTCACCTGACTGCCATGATTTTTCAAATATGGTGGCCAGGGGCTTCGTAACTTCATTTGCCAGCTCCTTCAGGACCCGCGGATGGATTTCATCAGGTCCCATGGACTTGTGTACATTCAGGTTTTTAAGATGATGGTCTCGAACCAGATCCTCTCCTACAGCGGGCCCTAGGTCTTCATTCCCACAGGCCCTGCGTCTGCCTTCCAAGACTTGGGTGGTGCGGTCAGAGCCTTTGCCAGTGAAGACCGAGGCAAAGAAGTCCTTCAGAACCTCAACCTTCTCCAAATCCTGTGTAGCTAGTTCTCCCAATGTTACAGAATAGCAAAATTTTTTCTCTGTAACTTTGCTTTTTTTGGTAACTTTGTGTGGTTGTTCTATCATAAAACTTCCCTCTTTTGATATTAAGGAAGGGGGGTGTTTTTTGATAGGATAAACATAATAATAACAATAGAAGAAAGCATAGTAGAAATAGTTATATTTTATATTTTAAAGGTTTATAAATTAATAGAAGGCCTTTATATGTGGCTACAGCTTTGCTGTTTTAAATTTTAGCTATGCTGCAGATTTAGCAATAGCTATGCCTGTGCCATCCTGTAACTCTGTACCATCCTGTAACTGTAGTTCTTAGCAACAGAAACTAACTTAACCATATATGGTACAGGGAGTGTAGAAAGGAATGAACTGTGAAGCTATACCCGAGTAGAACCGAAACTTTAGAAAGCCAAAAAGCATACCAGAAACTGATAAGAAAGTGCTAGCATCCACACAAGGGTTGGGATATGTCCCAGTAAGGGAAAGGTGAAGAGGGCGACCTGAGGAAGACTTCTTACTTCATCTGAGGAAGACTCCTTACTTCATCAGGACGACCACCAGAGGGGGCTGCGCAAGCCCAGAAGAGGCTGATGTCGTAATATTTATGATGTGGCAATCCTTAATGAATATGTATTAGTAGATGTTGTAACCTGTGCTAAATGTATATAAATTGCAAATGCGATGTGACGAGGCCGGAGCCAGATTTGGGTGCGTACCCCTGGTTCCCCAGCGCTGCACTAAAGCACCTCATATAACCATTCCGGTGGTTATGTGTTTGTTCCTACGCTAACATTTTGGCGACCCAGATGGGACCTCGCGGGCATTGCTGAGGCAGATCGCGTTTCGATCCCGCTCCAGCCGGCACCGAGAGATTCTCGGGGAGCCATCGACCGCGACCGACCTCCACTGCTCACGACGGACCTCTGACACGGTAAGGAAGGTGCTTTTTCCTTTTCCTCTGACCCGGTCACAGTGCCGATTTTGTAAAGCATGGTTTGGTACCGAATTTTGGGTAAAGTGTAAGTGTACAGACTTCTGAAAAGCTTGGCTGTAGGCGAAGCCTGCTTGGTTTGGTGCTGCATCTGGCCTCGCGAAGTCTGACTTGGTAAAGCCTGCCTGTTAGACGCGGTGAAAGCTGCGCTTGGTTGGGGCTAGGGAGCTCCCGGGGTAAAAGCCTAGGCGCCGTCCGTTAGACAGTAGCGAAAGCTCTGCAGGTTCGGCAAACGTGGTATTGGTATTTGAACTGTGATATTGGTGTTGGTATTTGTACTGTGATATTGGTATTGGTATTTTTACTGTGATATAGGTGTTGTTATTTGTACTGTGATATTGGTATTGGTATTTGTACTGTGGTATCAGTATCTGTCTGTAAAATTCTGCGATATAGTGGTGTGAGTGTGTGTGTGTGCTGTAAGAAAAACTTGTTTTGAATATCTCTCTGTAGTTGCAAAATGCCGCCGATTCCTAAGTCGTCTCCTTTAGGTTGTATTTTAAGTCATTGGAAGGAGGGGGGATTTGGGCAGAGTATGCAGAAAACTAAACTGATTGATTATTGCAATGTCTGGTGGCCACAATATGAATTAGAAGATCAGGAAAAATGGCCTGAGAACGGAACTTTGCAGTATAATACTATCTTGCAGTTGATGTTATATTGTAAAAAGGAGGAAAAATGGGATGAGGTACCGTATGTGGATCTTTTCTTTACCTTGAGAAACAAGGATAAGTGGCAGAAATCTTGTGGAATAATGGTTGTTAAGGCAAGCAATGCTGGAGAGTGTAAGGGATGTGTTGGAAAAAAGGAATGTGTGAAATGTCTTGCCTTAGAAAATAGTCGGGTACATCAAAAGGATGAAGATGATCTCGGGTTGTTAGTAGCTCCGCTTGCTCCGGTAGTAGTAAAGGAAGAAAGGGGGGAGGAAAGTGACAGTGATAACGATCTTGAGAATAAGAGTGATTGTGAGAATGCAGACTCAGGCACCTAGTGCGGTGCTTGCACCTTTAAGGCAAGGAGTTGGAGCAGAAGGGCCAGTGTACGTTAAAGTGCCTTTTTCTCCCAGAGATTTGGTTATTTGGAAACAATCAGTGGGGACATATAGGGAGAATCCTGAAAAGGTAGCCCGTGTAATGAAAATGATCATGAAAACTCAAAACCCAGACTGGAATGATATCCAGGTGCTTTTAGACACCCTCA